GGAGGCTTCCAGTAGTGGCTCAGTCATGGCTTGGCTGAATGTGGACTTTATAGGGATGTGGCTGAGACCCTTGGACCCCCACTACCCTGGGATCCTGGGGTGCTTCTGGTGCCAGCTCAGTGGTTATCAATGGTATAAATGTGTACATCAGGGGGCGTGGCTGAGGCCCTCAGCCCCCATCCCACCCCCTCACCCCCCCACTGCCCCGGCTCAGGACCCTGGGGTACTTCTGGTGGCAGCATGTTGGTCATTGCTGGGCTGGATGCAGATGTGGGGGGGACATAGTTGAGGCCCTCAGCCCTCCCCCAACCCTGGCTTGGGTGCCAAGGGGCTTCCCGTCTTTTTAGGTTTTATAGGTGTTCTTCAGTGGTGTCAAACCTTTACTGGTTAAGATCAAACTTTGTCTCTGATCTGTGGGTATTTGTTTTTTCTTTCAGTTCTGTGTTGGATTATTCACTATTCCCAGCACTCAAACTCCACACTGCAAGTAATTTGTTTTCCTTTGTTTACTTCTAAAATGGAGGAACTTCTGCGGGGACCAGCACTTGAGCCCTGTGGTAGAGCTAAATTGCTGCTCTGCTGCTGAGTCTTTGGAGAAGGCTTTTTGTGCAGCTCAGGTTTTAATTGTTGACCTGGTAAGCACTTCCAGGTCTTGAGAGGTCCAGTACACCTGTGTTAAGTGGAAACTCTGGTCTGGGCCTGAGTCTTTTCAGCAAACTGCACCCCTGCGCTTCTATATTCCTGTCAAGTCTCCACTTAGTGGTCCTGTGCTGACTGGAAGGCAGATCAGCTGTCGATGCTGTGCCCCAGTGTTCCCCCTGTGAGCCCATCTCCGCACCTCCCCCTTGCACTCCAAACACTTCCCATGGGATGGGCTATGTGTTGGTCCCTTGCAGTGACTCACCAGCCTCTGAGTGGCTTCTTTTTTCAGTTGTCTGTGGCCCCTCGCTCCTGTGTGGGTCCATGGGAACCCTGTTAGTGGTCTTGCTGGCCTGAGGACCACCAATGCCCTCTTCTCCCCTGCAGCCTCCAAGCAACTTCATACAAAGGGCAGGGCAGCAGCTTTTGCCAGCTCTTGCTCCGTGTGCTCACCAGGGCCAGCCTTGAAGTGGCCAGGACTCCAGACGGTTGGAGCAGTTTCTTCTTTCATCTCAGCTCTCCTGCCTTCATGGGCTCCGTAGGTCTCTCCACCTCTTCCCCTGAGCTCTAGTGGCCCCAGCTTGGCACTCGTTGCATTTTAATAGTTGTAAATTGGTTGATTGTGGCAGAGGATGACACTGGGCACTGTCTGTTCCGCCATCTTAATCAGAAGTCCATGAAAGTTGGGGCCGGCCCGGTGGCGCACTGCTACAGTGCACCGCTTGGGAAGCGCGGTGGCGCTCCCGCCGAGGGTTCGGATCCCACATACAGACCGGTTCCCACTCACTGGCTGAGCGAGGTGTGGGAGCAACACCGGGGGTTGCGATTCCGTTGCCAGTCCCGGTCCGGTACGGGCGCGACACTGAGGGTTGCGATCCGTTGCTGGTCACGAAAAAAGACAAAAAAGGAAAAAAAAAAAAAAAAGTCCATGAAAGTAATTTGATACAGAGCTTTCTTCATTTTTTTAAGTTATGTATAGAAGATAAAATAGAAAAAAAAATTATGAGTCAATATGGTATTCTCTTGGGAGACAGGGAGATAAAACCTTTTTAATGGAAAGATGCATAATTATTCCATTCCTTCAGATTGCTTTAAAGAATCTTTCATTCTTAATATTCTTTTAATTCTAAGAGGATGCAGTTATTATTAACATTTTTTCCCACATTTATACTAGTATATTTTAATTGTTTATGCTTATTTCAGGATTTTGTCAGGGAGTTCCAGTTTCACTACATCTTCACCAAAACACCAGTATTCTTGGTTTTGGCTGTTTAAATAGGTGTATGGTGATATCTTCTCGTAGTCTTAATTTGCATTTCCCTAATGGCTAATGATATTGAGCATCCTTTCATGTGCCTCATTGCCATCTGAATATCCTATCTGGTGAAATATCTGTTTGTGTCATTTGTTCAGTCTGTAGCTTGTGTTTTCATCCTCTTAATGTCTTTTCTACAGCAGAAGGTTCAAATTTTTTTTTTTTTTTAAAGATGACCGGTAAGGGGATCTTAACCCTTGATTTGGTGTTGTCAGCACCACGCTCAGCCAGTGAACGAACCGGCCATCCCTATATGGGATCCGAACCCGGGGCCTTGGTGTTATCATCACCGCACTCTCCCGAGTGAGCCACGGGCCGGGCCAGAAGGTTTAAATTTTTATGAAATATCCAATTTGTCAATTTTTTTTCTTTTATGGATTATGCTTTTGGTGTCACATCTGAGAACACTTATCAAACATAGGTCCTGAAGATTTTTTCGTATATTTTCTTCTAAAAGTCTTACAGTTTTAGGCTTTACATTTAAATCTGATTCAGTGAGCAATTTTTTGTATAAGGTGTGAGGTTTAGGTTGAGGTTCATTTTTTATTCTGTGTATAATTATTTCAGCATCATTTGTTGAAAATACCATCCTTTCTCCTTTGAATTGCTTTGTATGTTGTTAAAAATAGCATCCTTTCTCCTTTGAATTGTTTTGTATCTTTGTTAAAAATTAGTTGGCTACACTTGTGTGTGAACGCTGTTGTGTTCCACTGTCTCTTCCTCTGTCATTACCACATAGTCTTGATTACTGTAGCTATATAGTAAATCATATAATTTGGGAGTGACTCCCACTATCAAAATTGTTTTTGCTGTTCTGATTCTTTTGTCTTTCCATGTAAATTTTAGAATAATCTCCGTGTCTACAAAAAAAAAACTTATAGGATTTTGAAAGAAATTACCTATATATCAATTTGGAGAGAACTAACCTCTTTACTATGTTGAGTGTTCCAATTCATGAACACGGTTATGTCTCTCCATTTATTTAAATATTCTTTGATTTTTTTTCATAAGCATTTTGTAGTTTTTGGCATAGAATTTCTGTACATGTTTTGTTAGATTTACATTTAAGTATTTGATTTTTTGTTTAGCAGTAGCAAATATTATTATATTTTAAATTTGATTCAACATACTTATTTCCAGCATATATGGATATGACTACAGTTGCTTTTTGTATGTTGATGTATCCTGCTACCTTGCTGAACTCACTTATTACTTCTAGGAGTGGTTTTGTAGATTCGTTAGGATTTTCCTTGGGATTTTCTATGTCACAGATGACATAGACACATGTCATCTGTGAATAGGAAGAGTTTTATTTCTTCCTATGTTCCTTTTTCTTTTCTTTTTCTTTTTTCTTTTTAACATCATTGGCACTGGGTAGGACTTCCAACATTATGTTGAATAAGAATGGTGAGAGCAGACGTCCTTCCTGGTTTTAGGAGGAAAGCGTTCAGGCTTTAGTCATTAAGTATGATGTTAGCTGTAGATTATTTTGTAGATGCTCTTTATCATGTTGAGGAAGGTCCCCTTATTTCTAGTTTTCTAAGAATTTTTCTCATGAGTGGGTGGTCAATTTTGTCAAATGCTTTTCTGTATTGATTGAAAGATTATGTGATTTTTCTTCCTTAGTCTGTTCATATGGTGGATTACATTAATTGATTGTTGAGTTATTGAATGAGCTTTGCTGCATCTCTGAAATAAAACCTGCTTGGTTATGATATACAGTTCTTTTGGTATATTGCTGAATTCTAGTTCCTTATATTTTGTTAAGGATTTTTGTTAGGGATATTGTTTGTAGTTTTCTTTTTTGTGTCTTTGTGTTTTTCCATAAGGATAATACTGACCACATAAAATGAGTTGAGAAGTGATCCCTCCTCTTCTGCTTTCTGGAATAAGTTGTATAGAGTTGTGTTGATTTTTCTTTAAATGTTTTGGGTCTGAAGATTCTATTGGGGGAGTTTTAAAATTATAAATTCAAATTTATATATAGTTACAGGGCTGTTTAAATTATCTATTTCATAGTGGTTGAATTCTGGTAGTTTGTGCCTTTTGAGGAATTGGTACATTTAATGTGTCAAATTTATGTGTAAGTTGTTTGTAGTATTGCCGTTTTGATGTCTATAGGGTCTGGATGGTATCCTCTGTTTCATTCCTAATGATAGTAATTTTTCTTTTCTCTCTTTCTTCGTTAGTCTTGCTAGAGGTGGTTCCAGCTTATTGATCATTTCAAATAACTAACTTTTTTCTCCTTTGATTTTCTCCCTTTTTGTCTTTAATTTCATTGACTTCTGTTCTTTGTTATTTTCTTCCTTCTGTTGTTATGGGTTCATTTGGCTCTTCTTTGTCTAGGTTCTTGAGGAGGGAGTTTAGAATATTGATTTGATTTGAGACATTTTCTATTTTCTGTTGTATGCATATAGTACATAAATTTCCCTGTCAGCACTGCTTTAGCTGTGTCTCCCAAATTTTGATATGTCATATTTTCAGTTTTATTCAATTTGGTGTATCTTTTGGTTTCCCTTGAGATTTCCTCCTTGTCCTATAGATTATTAGAAGCTGTTGTTTAGTTTTCATGTGTTTGGAGATTTTCCATCAGGAAATCTCTTTCTCTTTTTGATTTCTAGTTTGATTTCCATTGTTCTCAGAGAACACACTTTGCATAATTTCAGTTCTTTAAATATGTTAGATTTGTATTGTAGCCCAGGATATGGTTTCTCTTGGTAAGTGTTCAGTGGACTTATCAGTGCATAATAATGTGTATTTTGTTGGTGGTGGTAGAGTGTTCTATAAATGTTCATTAAATCCCGTTTGTGTTATTGTGAAATTCTCCTATATTCTTGCTAATTTCTTCATCTAGTTGTATTAATTATTGAGGAAGGGGGATTGACTTCTCTAGTGTAATTATGGATTTGTCTATTTTTTAATTTCAGTTCTGTAGTTTTTGTAACTTTTCTACCTGAGTTTTAATTAAACATAACTTTGTCTTTTAAACTGTGTTGTATCTTCCACTGTTCTTTTATTTAGCACATTTTGTATTTTTTAAACTTAGACCTTGTGTGCACAGTAATGACCTCACGTTTCCGATTGCCTGCTGGCAGAACCTACAATGTACGAGCATCAGAACTGGCCAGAGACAGACAGCATACTGAGGTGGTTTGCAACATCCTTCTTCTGGATAACACTGTACAAGCTTTCAAAGTTAATGTAAGTATTTTATGTCTTTAAAAAAAAAAATCTCTGTTTATAAGTCTGAATTTAGATATGTTTTAAAACTAGAATTGTTAAGTTGTAGTACAGTTTGAAAGATCTCATTCAGTTAAAGTCTTTTAGATGCAAATTCATAGTAGGTGCACATTCACTGGGTCCTTTAAAAAGTGTTGCTCACTGGACACTGTCACATACCAACAGTGCATTGTGATTAGTAGAGCAGATCAATAGTATGTGGGTGATTTATATAAACGTGCTTGAGGGTATCTAAAAGGAATTTGTTCTCCTAAATAATTTATACATTTCCATTGTAATCTTACATGTACTGTCAGTGAATAAAACTTTTGCTAAACAAAGATAAATGACAGCCTTGATCTTATCTGAGTATTGTCTGAAATATTTATTCAACAACTATTCGTTCATTCTATTTGTGTCTAGCTTCATTTGCTCATTGTTATCTGTGAGTTTCACCCATGTGGTGTGTTAACAGTAGTTAGTTCATTTTCATTGCTGTATAGTACCCTTTTTAATGAATATGCCACAATTTACTTATCCATCTATTTGTCCAATTTACTATTGGTTTATATTTGGTTTGTTTCCACTTTGGGCTTTTACAAACGATACTGCTTTAAACATTCTTATACATGTCTTGATTCGTGCAAGGATGCATTTTCCCCTTTTATTTTAAAAATTTCAAGCGTATAGAAAAGGTGAAGGAACAGTAAAATGAAAACCCACATACACTATATTAGTCTGTTTTTGTGTTGTTATAACAAAATACCTGAGACTGTGTAATTTATAAAGATAAAAGGTTTATTTGTCTTATGATTCTAGGACAGCTGTATCTGGTGCTGGCCTCAGGCTGCTTCTAATCATGGCAGAAAATGGTAGGGCAGCCAGTGGGTACAAGGAGATTGATCACATGGCAAGAGGAAGCAAAAGAGAGAGAGAGGGGGGAGTTGCCAGTTTCTTTAAACAACCAGCTCTCACAGGAACTAACAGAGCGAGAACTCATTCACTAACCCCCACCCCCAGGGAGGGCATTAATCTATTCATGAGAGATTCACCCCCGTGACACAAACACTTCCCAACAGTGCCACAATGGGGATCAGATTTCAACATGAGCTGGGGATGGGGGGCAACATATCCACACTATATCATATCCTTTACCTGTATTGACCTGGTGTTAACATTTCTCACATTTGCTTTACCTTTCTTTCTTTCTTTTTTTTTTTTTTTGGCTTTTGTCTTTTTTCCGTGTCCGGCAATGGATCGCAACCCTCAGTGTTGCCCCCGTACCGGACCGGGACCGGCAACGGGATCGCAAGCCTCGGTGTTGCTCCCGCACCTCGCTCAGCCAGTGAGTGGGAGCCGGTCTGTATGTGGGATCCGAACCCTCGGACGGAAGCGCCGCCGCGCCTCCCAGGCGGCGCCATACCTTTCTTTCTTTCTATGTGCTGTTTTTTCCTGAATCTTCTGCAAATAAGTGGTAAACTTCACTCTTAAGTATTTTAGCATCCTGAGAATCTCCTAAATTACTATAGTACCAGTTTCACAACCTAAAAGTCAACATTATGAAAATAATAGTACCTAATAGTAGTCCGTACTCAAACTAGAATTCCTCATTTCTCATTTCCAAGTCTCCAGGATGACACTTCATCTGCTTCCTGCTATATTACCTGGGTACTTCTATACTTTGAAATCTTTAAGTAATATATTAATCCTCTTTATTTACCAGTTTCTTAATTAAGCTTAAATTTTTTTTCTGTCTTTTTAAAAAAAATTTTCCCATTGTATTTATTTATTTATACATATTTGTGGGGGACAGTGTTTTTTTCAATACATGCGTATACTGCACGATGATTTAGTTAGGGTAGATACCATAGTTTTGTACCCATTAGTCCACCCTCTTCCTACACCCCTCCCACCCCACCCCCACCTCTGCCACCTTTGGTAAACAATATTCTACTCTCTACTTGTATAAGAATTCCTTTTTTTTTTTTTTTAGATTTCACGTAAGAGTGATATCGTGTGGTATTTGTCTTTCTGTGCCTGACTTACTTTACCTAACATGATATTTTCCAGTTCCATACATGTTGCTTCAAACGATATCATTTTTTTTTTTTAATAGCTGAGTAGTATCTCATTGTGTATATATAGATCACAGTTTGTTTGGTTTTTTTTACCCATTCATCCATTGACGGACATTTAGGTTAATTCCATCTCTTGGCTATTGTGAATAGCGCTACAGTGAATATGGGAGTGCAGGTGTCTTTTTGATATATTGATTTCATTTCCTTTGGGTATATAACCCAGGAGTGATAGTTGGATCGTAGGGTAGATCTATTTTTAGTTCTCTGAGGAACCTCCATACTGTTTTCCACAGTGGCTGTACTCCCACCAGCAATGTAGGAGAATTCCTTTCTCTCCGCATCTTTGCTAGCTTTGTTATTTTTTGTCTTGTTGGTTGAAGCGGGAGCGCCGCCACGCTTCCCAAGCGGCGCACTATCCATTGCGCCACCAGGCCGGCCCCTTTGTTATTTTTTGTCTTGTTGGTTGACGTCATTCTAACTGGAATGAAATGATATCTCGTGGTTTTAATTTGCAATCATTCTGTAATGATTAGTGATGTTTAGCATTTTTTCATGTGCTTTTTGGCCATTTGTGTGTCTTCTTTTGAGAAATAAATTTCTTTCAGGTCCTTTGTTCATTTTTTAATTGGGTTATTTGTTCTTTTGATGTTGAATTGTCTAAGCTCCTTGTGTATTGTGGATATTAGCCCCTCATCTGATATGTACTTGGTAAACACTTTCTCCCATTTGGTAGCTTGTTTCTTCACTTTGTTGATAGTGTCTCTTTTTGTGCAGAAGCTTTATAGTATGACGTAGTCCCTTTGTGTATTTTTGCTTTAGCTGCCTGGGCCTTTGTAGTCTTGCTCAAAAAAGCACTGCCTACTTCTGTGTTGTGTAGCATTTCCTCTATGTTTTCTTCTAGTACTTTCATAGTTTTTGATCTTAAATTTAGGTCTTTAATCTATTTTGAGTTGACTTTTCTGTATGGTGAGAGATAGGGCTCTAGTTTCAGTCTTCTGCATGTGGATATTCAGTTTTCCCAGCACCATTTATTGAAGAGGCTCTCCTTTCCCTGCTGTATATTCTTTGCACCTTTGTCAAAAATCAGTTGGCTGTAAGTGCATGGGTTTATTTTGGGACTCCCTGTTCTATTCCATTGGTTAATTCGTCTGTTTTTATGCCAGTACCATGCTGTTTGAGTTGGTATAGCTTTACAGTATATTTTGAAGTCAGGAAATATGATGCCTCCAACTTGGTTCTTTTTGTTCAAGATTGCTTTAGCTGTACAGGGTCTTAGCTATTTCAGTATTGGTGTGTAGGAAGACTATTGATTTTTGTGTATTGATTTTGTTTACTGCCACTATACTGAATTCATTTATTAATTTAGCAATTTCTAGTGGAGTCTTTGGGGTTTTCCATGTATAGGATTGTGTCAACTACAAATAGGGATAGTTTGACTTCTTCCTTTCCAATTTGAATGCCTTTTATTGTTTTCTCTTTCCTTATTGTGCTGGCTAGAACTTCCAGTACTGTGTTAAATAAGTGGGGAAAATGGGCATCTTTGTCTTGTTCTTAATCTTAGAGGAAAAGCCTCCAACTTTTGTCCATTCTTTATGATATTAGCTGTGGGTTTGTCATGTATGTGGCCTTTATTGTGTTGAGGTACATTCCTTCTATACCTATTTTGTTGAGTGTTTTTATCATGAAGGGGTGTTGGATCTTATTAGGTGCTTTTTCTGCACCTATTGAAATGATCATTTTGTTTTTCGCTTCATTCTGTGGATGTAATGTGTCACGTTTATAGATTTGTGTGTGTTGGACCAACCTTGCATCTCTGGGATGAAACCTGCTTGATCATGGTGAATGATCTTTTTAATGTGTTGTTGGATTCTGTTGGCTAGTATTTTGTTGAGGATTTTCATATCTATTTTCATTAGGGATTTTGGTTTGTAGTTTTCTTGTTGTATCTTCCTCTGGTGGATAATTTTGACCTTATAGAATGAGTTTGGAAGTATTCCCTCCTCTTCCATTTCTTGGAAGAGTTTGAGAAGAATTGGTATTAGTTCCTCTTTAAATGTTTGGTATAATTCTGCAGTAAAGCCATCTGGTTCTGGGTTTTCTTTGTCAGGAGACTTTATTACTGCTTCAATCTTATTACTCATTATTGGTCTGTTTAGGTTTTCTGGTTGTTTATGATTCAACACTGGCAAATTATATGTGCTCAGGAATTTATCCATTTGTTCTAGGTTTTCCAGTTTGTTCACATATAATTGTTGTAGTCTCTTATGATCTTGTATTTCTGTGGTATCATTGTAATGTCTCTTCTTTTGTTTCTGATATTATTTATTTGAGTCTTCTCTCTTTTTTCCTTTGTTAGTCTAGCTAAAGCTTTATTGATTTTGTTAATCTGTTTGAAAAACAACTCTGTTGCATTGATCTTTTGTATTGTTTTTTTAAATCTCTAATTCATTTATTTCTGCCACAATGTTTGTTATTTCTCTCCTACTGGTTTGGGGTTTGTTTTGTTCTTATTTTTCTTGTTCTTTGAGAAGTAAGTTAGGCTGCTTATTTGAATTCTTTTTTTTTTTTTTTTTTTTTTTGATGTAGGCACTTACTGCTATAAAATTTCCTCTTACAATTGCTTTTGCTGCATCCCATAGGTTCTGCTATATTGTCTATTAATTTTCATTTGTCTCCAGGAATTTTTAAATTTCCTTTTTGATTTCTTCTTTGACCCATTCACTGCTTAGGAGCATGTTGTTTAATTTCCATGTTTTTATACATTTTCTAATGTTCCTTTTGTTGTTAATTTCTAGTTTTAATCCATCGGGGTCGAACAAGGTAGCCAATATGATTTCTGATTTTTAAGTGTTTGTTGAGACTTTTGTTTTGTGACCCAACATAAATGGTCTATTCTAGAGAATG